TATATATATATATATATATATATATAAAATATTTGTTTCTCTTCAAACATGAGAAAGCCATATGGCTGCTGCCAGTTGGTGTGTATTCTAGGATAGTGATCCAAAAATTTCCCTTTCAGTGTTAACATAATTTTACATATTATGATTGGTTTGGTCTTAGGATGTTTGAACCCTTACTTTCTGAAAATAATTTCAATTGCATGAAGTCATTCTTTGTTTTTGAGGAATTCTACTCCGTTTGTATTCCTAAACATTTGGAGACAATGGTTGAGAAGTTTCATAAATCTATTCAAAATAAGCATTACTTTTGGTGTAACATTCTTTCTTTCGATATAAAATATTTATTTTCCAAATGTAGTTAATCACAAAACCTATATTTCTTTGTATCTTTTAGATGTTTCTCCTTCATGTGTGATTAAGGCATTATCTGCAAAAGAGAACATTAATAAAGGAGAATTACTGAAAACAATCATGCATGGCCTTGAGGATTTTGACTTCAGGAAAGTCAGGGAAAAGATGCATGAGTTTGAGAGTCAGTGGGGAGATACTGAAAAAAATTACAAAGGTGTGACTACAACCCTTAACAAGAATTTCATTTGTAGAAAAGATCAACATGAAAAAACAGATGTGGGAAACAAGTATAGGAAATGTTTTGAAAATACACTTGGATTGAGGTTTCAGTTAGATCTGGATGAAATACAGAGTTGTCGAACTGAAGAGAAAATGTATGGCTGTAATCAAGAGGAGCAGTCTGTCAATAACGGTTCTTCAGTTTCACCACTTCAAACAGTTTCTGCCAGTGTCAAAACTAACATTTGTAATAAATATAGGGAGGGGTTTATGCATCCTTCATTGCTTACTCAACACCAGAAAGTACACATTAGAGAAAAACCATATAATTGTAATGAATGTGGGAAAGCGTTTAGCCAGAGGTCAACCCTTGTTAACCATCAGCGAATTCATACTGGAGATAAACCATATGAGTGTAATGTATGTGGCAAGGTCTTTACCCAAAATTCAAATATTGCATTTCACCTGAGAACCCATACTGCAGAGAAACCTTACAAATGTAATGAATGTGGTAAGGCTTTTATCCATAATTCAAGCCTTGTGGATCATCAGAGAATTCACACTGGAGAGAAGCCTTTCAAATGTAGTGAGTGTGGTCAAGCTTTTATCAGACGTTCACAACTTTGGGATCACGAGAGACTTCATACTGGGGAGAAACCTTACAAGTGTAATGAATGTGGGAAAGCCTTTAACCGTGGCCCAAACCTCACTACCCACCAGAGAATCCACACTGGTGAGAAACCATATAAATGTCATGTTTGTAGCAAGGTCTTTAATCAAAATTCACACCTTGTGATTCATCAGAGAATTCATACTGGAGAGAAACCTTACAAATGTAATGAATGTGGTAAGGCCTTTATTTATAGATCAAGCTTTGTCAAACATCAAAGAATTCATACTGGAGAGAAACCTTACAGATGTAATGAGTGTGGCAAAGCCTTTACCTGTGGCCAACACCTCACCAGACATCAGAGAGTCCATACTGGAGAGAAACCACACAAATGTAGTGTGTGTGGCAAAGCTTTTATCCAAAAATCTAAACTTGTGCGACATCAGAGAGTTCATACTGGAGAGAAACCTTACAAATGTAATGATTGTGGTAAGGATTTTATCCATAGCTCAAGCCTAGTCCAACATCAGAGGATTCATACTGGAGAGAAACCATACAAATGTAATGAGTGTGGCCAGACATTTTTTACACACTATCAACTTTGGTATCATGAGATAATTCATACTGGAGAGAAACCTTACAAATGTAATGAGTGTGGCAAAGCCTTTAACCTTGGTTCAACTCTCAATACGCACCAGAGGATCCATACCGGAGAGAAACCATATAAATGTAACGTATGTGGCAAGGGCTTTATCCAGAAATCACAACTTGCAAATCATCTGAGAATTCATACTGGAGAGAAACCTTACAAGTGCAATGAATGTGGGCAGACTTTTTTTACAGGCTCTCAACTTTGGTCTCATGAGAGAATTCATACTGGAGAGAAACCTTTCAAATGTAATGCCTGTGGGAAATCATTTAACCGGAGCTTACAACTCACTAGACATCAGAATATACACCTTGGGAAAAAATCACACATGTAATGTGTGCGCCAAGACTTTTCCCCCAGAGATCAAAACTTGGTAATCAGAGAGTTCATGCTGAGTGAATACGTACTAATGTAATGAGAGTATCAGATTGTATGCATCCTTGAGAGAAATTACATGAAACTTATGTGTGTGGCATGGCTTTTGTCCATAGTTCTGGCAATGTGGAGCAACAGAGAACTGATAATGTAGACAAACCTTTCAGTGAGTGTGCTAAGGCTTTTCTCAAATATGCACACTTTTGGGGTCATGATAGAATTCATACTAGAGAAAAGCTTTGTACAAATATAATGAGTGCCAAGGCCTTTAAACAGTCAGTCGTCTGACCTCTAGCTTCACCAAGAATTCATAAAGGAGAAAAACCTCACAAGCGCAATCAATCATTTAACCAGTGTTCACAGTGGAATCTCAGAATTTGTACTAGGAGGAACTAAGTTTCGTGTCCTCAAAGATTAATCAACCTCAGATGTTACATTCTGCAGAGTAATTTCCATTTCTCAATTTGTTAAAACTCATGTGATGATGTGTGTCAAAGGAGGTGGAGAGGTCCATTTATCTTCCATCTTAAATATTTCTATTCAGTTATTTGTGGTTTCCTGAAGAGGGTACTTACTATTCACAACTTCTAACCTGAGGTCTGAAATCTTTTGATATCATGCTTTCACTATTGACCTTTTCACATGTCACAGTGATGCTCTTCAGGAAGGGAGCAATGACTTTTTTTTTTTTTTTTTTTAGTTTTTATTGTGGTAGATATATGGGTAATAAAACGTGCTGTTTCAGCTGTCCTCATACGATTCAGTGACATTAATTGTTCATTAGATGGAATGCATTCATATCCTTATTCCCTGAGAGAACAAGGATACTGGATTAAGATATAAAATGATGGAATTTTATGAGTGGATGGGATTGGGTGGACGAGATAAAGAGTTCTGATTAGCACAATTAATGAATTTAAGAAAACCATCTCTCGAGGGCTACTGAGGATTATAGGAAAGGATTGTTCTACCAGCTGACAAATGCCAGGCCAGGACATTGAGAACCAGATTTTGGTGGGAGCAGTGTTAGGTTACCAAGAACTGCTTCTGTGGTAGAAATAATGGAGAGGAGATGATGATCACCTCCGTTGACATCGATAGCTGTCAAATAGCAAAGATTAATGAAACAGTGTTATTTTTGGAAACTGAAGTAAAACAATTAAGAGTATAATCAAAAGAACCAAAACTTTCCATGTGCAGGATTCACGTTTAACCACTGGCATTGCATTCTGGTACTGTTTTATTCAGAGCATATCATAGGTCTCATGTTTAATAAAATGTAATCTTTTTTTTTCCCCATTACCCTAAATGGATTATGTTCCTTTTACCAACACAGTGATACCTCACCTCAGCAGTGTACTTCATAACAGATGCTAACAATCGGCTCTCATGGTTGAATGGCATATATAACAATTACATTCAGTGATGAAATTATGCAATTTTTAATACAATTCGGGGAATATATACCTAAATTTTGTGCTTGAGTTATTCTGTCCACACTTTGCTTCTGGATATTATGTCAATATAATGACAGTTCCATAGCAGGGCAATTTCACGCTAACTTCCTATAACCTCCCTCACTAGTCTTGGATATTTACTGTTTGGTTATATTTCCACATGCTGTTTTTTGTGCCTAAACAAGACCTATGGCTTGCATTGGTCTTGACTTACATGAGGTGAAAGATATATTGAACATATAAGAAACGTTAGGAGTACAAGGATATCCAGAATAACAAAATTAATATTGTTCTGCTTATAGCATTCTGTTGAAATAATTTGAAAACATAAATATTCATAAGTTTCCCCTTAAGAATAAAGATAGTGTTTTTCTTTTTTTCCCCAATAAATATAGACCTTTACAAACTTCCCTCCCTAATTATTTTTTGTTAATTTCCCCTTGTGGCCGATGTGGAATAACAAGATGAACTTTTAGATTCCTTCAGCTGCCGTAACAATACCACACACTGGCTTAAAACAGCAGAACCTGGAAGTTAAAAGTTTGAAATCGTGATGTGTTGGCTGGGTTGGTTTCTTCCAGGGCCCTCTGAGGGAGAGAGTATTCAATGCCTTTTCTTCTAAGCTTCTAGTTTTGGTCACTGACGTTCCTTGGTGTTTAGCTGCACCATCCCAAACTCATCCTTCATCTTCATGTAGTGGTCTCATTCACACATAGTGTGTCTCTTCTAAGAACACAGGTAAAAAAAGATTTTGGCTCCCCCTCATTAATCTATCAATGAATTACATCTGTGATGACCCTCTTTCCAAGTAAGGTCACACAGGTGCTGTGGGTTACAAATTGAATGTATTTTTTGGGGTCACACAATTCAACCTCTGACAGACCCATGACCATCATTTGGTTTGGCTGTTAAGATTGATAATGCCACACACCAGAGGGGTATTGTTCTGGTTCCCTAGTGCCACTCTGACAAGAAATATACCACAAATGGGACAGCCTTAACAAACAGGAGTTTATTCTTAACAATTTGGAGGCTTTAAGTGCAAGTTCAAAGTCCCAGGCTCTAGGGGCTGGGTGAAAGCCCCTCAACCTTGGGGTCCAGCTCTGCCTCCTGCTCCTGGCCCACTGGAACTAGAGGTGTTTCTTCACTCAGACAGCTGCTGGCTGCTGAGGCTGAGAAGCCCAAGGTTGACAAGTAAAAAGGCACAGACCCTATGATACCAAATGACACAGCAGGCCATTAATTTAGGTCCATTGTAAGTCCCAAGGTTGGCAGAGCATGGCAGGCTGCTGAGCAATGACACGGCTACATGCAGGGTCCAAGCATGCCATAGGCTAGAGATCATTCTTGAGGCTTCTTATATACAGGAAGCAGACCACATCCCAAAGGGAGCTACCTAGCTGCTCGTGGTAGATCCCACCATGGAGCTAGTTGACACACAAACTGAACTACCACAGGTATGAAAATGTTTATTACACAGTAAGAGCAGAGAAGACTTCCCAAGATAGTCCCAAAATGGCTTGAGATTTCTTGGTTGACAGGATAAGGGGTGGTGAGAGGCTACCTGTGCTCAGTTTGAACTTTTTGCCAGAGCCAAGGGAGAGACCACTTGGGGATTTAAAAAAAATCAAAGTGCCTTGATGTAGGTGGAAGGAAAGAAGTGAGCTTTAAAAGCTGTCAGTAGTCAAACACAAGAAATGGAGTCAGACTCGGTACAACACTGCATTCATTAGTTGTGAAGCTTGAGGCTTCTTGCTAGAGAAAGACTACAATTTTCTTCATGCTAATAACATATGCCCTTTTCTACTGTACACACAAGTATCTTTGCACAATATGGTTGTTGCAAGTGCTTGGCGAGTATGTTTAGATAAATTGCCTAGGATACTTATGTTGTTGTCATGTGCCATCAAGTCAGACCTGACTCACAGAGACCCCTCCTTGGGTTTCCGAGGCAGTATCACTATGGAAGTAGATTGCTCAACCTTCCTTCTGAGGAGTGGCTGTGGGTTTGAACTGCCAGCCTTCTGGTTAGCAGTCAAGTGCCTTAGGCACTACACTACCAGAGCTCCTAGGATACTTACAGTTTCACAAAAATTAATATATGGAAGTGTTTATCAGACAAAATATCTCAACAGCTTCACTAGGAGGTGCAATTTCACAGACTATAGAAATGTCAGTTTGAGATAGAGTGATATGTTACATGATTCTTTTAACTAGTTAATTTAAAATATATTTATCCTCACCATTATTTTTTCTTCCACACATTTTAATCCAATTTATATGTTTAATTTACATTTCTGCCCTGTGTTACTCCAGCAAAAAATATAGAGGATACATAAAGGCTTGTTTTGAGTCTTGTGACATTAAAATCTACATAAGACAATCACAGGTACAAAGCAGGTCTATAAATATGAAGAAAGTCCCATTAAGCCTTTAGTAAAATGAAACATCAGGAGTGGTAAGCTGCAATTATGTGATGTGGAGGAAGGAGACCTTTAACTCTCATACTGGGGTTTTGGAAACAAAATAATATTTTATGTTAACGTCTCTCCAATTCCTCCTTTTCTTGCCATTGTTACCATGATCTTTTCCCTTCATCAGTGCAATGAATACTGGATACTGTGTCTTGTTATCAGTGCAGTGGATACTATACCTCCAGGTCCTTTAGGTCTGAATAATTATCAGGTTTTTTTTTTTAATTTGCTTTTTATTTTGGTAGATACATGCTTAACAAAATTTGCCACTTCAACCAGTACAATTTACTGACATATTTATTCATCATGTTGTTCAACCATCAATCTTAACCTGCTCCCAAATATTTCCTTCACTGTTAATAGAAGGACCAGAAAACAAAGCCACTACCATCAATCAGGGAGCTCTGGTAGCATAGTGCTTAAGGTACTTGACTGCTAACCAGAAGGCTGGTTCAAACCCACCAGCCACTCCTTGGAAGGAAGGTTGGGCAATCTACTTCTGTAGTGATACCGCCTCGGCAACCCAAGGA